AGTATAACACTGTCAATATACCGAGGGCATCACGGACTTTGAACGCAACAGATCAACATCTCAAAAACATTGACGGTTTTGTTACTGTCTCATATTCTTTATCTTCTTAAGCCGAAAAGGATTATAACCCATACAATTGTTGTCTACAAGATTGATTTTGCCCTATCATGCAGAGCTGAAGGAAGGAGGATTTACTGCAAAAGTGACAATTTTTGTRAATCGTTGACTTTTCTCTACTTTTCAGATCGAAGATCACTGAAGATATAATTGTGGTGCTATTGATTGATTTATTCATGATGTTATGTAACAGGTTCATATGGATGTGGGCATTTACAATTGTAAACATCACTGAGGCCCTSAGGACGAAGAGAAATGTGACTTCAATAGACATTTCTACGCCGACAACAAAACTTCCKAATTTAATAACTACTGGTGAGTTGGAACTAAATACAGAGTCGACAAACTCCGATTCTCACGAAGCAAAYATCGTCAGTGCGGTCATTGTCATTGGGTGTATTCTTGGATTTATACTATTTGCTGTTGTTATGAGTCAACTTTGCTGCATTCGCAGTGACAGTCCTCGAGAGATTAAAACAGACGACAACAGAACTGTACAATTGAGTGGCGTGAGTATTAGTAAGCCATATCAAAAAGTCCCTAAAGAACCAATAACGCAAATCGAAGCACTGTCGAGCATTGCTGTGTCGACGTGATTGCGCATCGTTCACATAARCAAGGCATCAGTCTTTGTCTTCGGATGCACCTTTTAAGACTGTAAATCACTTGTCTCTGGTTTGTTTGTCATGAAAAAATGGTTTCAGGCTGAAGTGACCGCGGTCGAGAAAATATATAAATAAATATATATATATATATATAAACGAAAACATAAAATATTAGAATCAGTAAAAGATACAAATCAAATCCTGAACCATAAGTACTAGTGACGAATTAGAAACGAAAACTGAACGATTCAGGAACAAAGGAGTGAGCTAATGATATCATGCGATGAATCAATACATGCAATAACACGTTTTGTTCATAAATTTGACATTAATTCACGGAACATGCCCATCTCCTGCGATTGGCATCATACTGTAATACTCTATTAAGTTAATAAGCCGTGTACTGATACGTTCTGACCTAACTATCAAGAGAAAGAAGTTGGCGCAGTAAAAACTGTGAAAAGACAGTGTCTGTAGGTTGGAAAAGTCTTATACTATTTCAGAACGAGATCAAATATATAATTACTTTTTGCACGAGCTTTCGCCTTAAGTGGCTATGACTTGCTGGACGTTTCTTTTATATATATTCATTTGCTTCGTTTTATATAATCACCACGAGGCAAGATTGATTTTCTGTCTCCAGTGAAAAAAAGGTGCACTTTGCTAGATTAAAGAAGTACTTTACTGAATTGCTTTCATTTATAGCCAACCGCTGTTTTCTTTTCAAAGAAGACAGAAAATTGATTTAATGTATAAATACAATTTGACAAAAACATCATTATCAAAAAAAACCTGTAGATTAGTTGTAAAAGGCTATTATACATGGACAGACAGCTTTATTGCCAAGACATAGTATTATAACGCTTTAATCTTATAAACTGGCTCGCAGTTTTATCACAAATATATTTCCGTCAATGATGTTATTTCGACTAATGGATTTTTATTGATTTTTAAGAACCTATAACCGCATGTATACGGAAAAAGCAAGTCTTTGACGTCATACCGAGTCTTATTAGCACACGTCTCTTGCACACCAGGCAAGAGACACCAAACCAGTTCGTGCTGCGAACCACAAATCGGTCAAAGCGGTGCTGAGAGAGCATGAAGGCATTCTGTCTGCGCACGCGCGCGAAAAACACCATTAGTGGTAATAACCGCTGTTAAGAGCCCGTCATGGACGTCCGCGTCGCTTACCCGCCAGATTCGCGCCCTTTTGTAGATGAGAGTGAAGTAAACAAAAAAACTAATAATGTCGGTCTCAATTCGCAATGTACTCTTTCTTGCTTCGCTTTCATTGTTTATAATTTCTACCGAGTTTGTTAGGTCAAAGAGTGGTTGTGTAGTTTGTGGGAAAAAAAGTCAGCCAATTAGTGCTTTTTTAAATGTTCAGTCTTATGTCGACGAATTTACACTACACCTTTGCTTTCAGGGATTCATACGTAACAACACTCAGCGACACCATGTGCACCATATTGGAGTGCTTTACACAAGCGCACGCAATTTATTCAATAATTTAACTATACCCACCCGATTTTACAACTTCTTAACTTTAAAATGATGATAAACACGAGCACGAGCGATAATAGAAGTTATTTAATATATTGGAAGCAAGAGACAATGCGAGTGACAAAGTTTGTATTGAAATTCTCATTGAAGTTGAAAGAATGTTTTCACGAATGTTTACCGGGAGTAAAGATTGATATTAGAGAGTTTTAGCATCACGTTGACGGCAAACGGCTAACGGTAGAGCTGAACCAAATACCTAAGAATTTCGTGCCCGACCTTGYGCTTTTGGTAGTCATCTGAAAGAGCGGCTTTTCACGATTATGGCAACCTCAAACTAACCCTATCATGGTTTACGTTTATGTTTGACATGTTCCTATGTTCCCATATACAGTCAACTCTCTCGTAAACGACCACCTCGGAATTAGGAAAAAGTGATCGAAAGAGATGGTCTCAATGGGGTTAACCGTGAGCCGTGAAACGGCTAAAAAATTAGCCGTGAATCGTAAAAATGAGAAAAAATAGCCGTGAAACGGCTGAAAAATTAGCCGTGAGTCGTGAAAATGAGAAAAAAATTAGCCGTGAGGCGTGAAAAAGTCAAATTTTTAGCCGTGAGTCGTGATACGGACCCCCCATTGAGACCCTCGAGAGATGGTCGTTCACGAGAACGTTACCACAGGAAACCCAAACAATGATAATAACAACACATGAAGTCCAAAAAGTTCAAAACACTTTGTTCTTATTTCAGTGTATAAAATCTTTGAACAATTTATATATACTGATTTAATAATGATTTGATCATAATCATGGTTAAATATGTAAAGAGCACTTTAAAGTGCGATAACAGTAAGTAACTACTGTATAAGAAAGTTTAAGAACAATAAAKATAGTCATCTCTAGCCTCCTCCGCAGGCATCACTAAGAATCACGGGCTTCCTGTCTTTTTGAGGAGTCAAAACAGGGAGAATGGGGGGGGAGAAAAAGGAACTCCTCCTCTTTTTATTTTTGCCATCTCGTCACTAGTCCCTCACGGCCATTATGACCGTTACAAAGGAAGCCTAAAGGAGGAAAAAAGAGTTGCCTGTGGAGGAGGCCAAGTCATCTCGAACAACGTTCATAATATACAGTACATGTTTTTTCAAATACAGTTACGTGAACGTTTAATGCGTATTAAAAAAATAAGGGGTAGATACTTGMTTTAAGCTTTTTACATGTGAGTCCATTCTCTCTCTGTCGTCCGCTTCAGTTTTGAAGATCGGTGACCCTATTGTGACGTCGTTGCCGTCTTGCTTCAGCTCTTTTAGCAAGGGTTTCTTCTTCTAGTACTTTGCCTGATCTTGTCTTCTGGCGCCACTCCATTCGATCTTGCGTTACTTCATACCAGTTCTGGTCGAAGCCGAAGAGTTTCAGGTCTTCCTTTGCGCAGCAGAAGTACATAACCAGTGGTTATGTACTTCTGTGCGCAGTCTTTCCAACGCTTTCTTGGGCGTCCTCTTCCCCGGTTTCCCTTGTCCAGTTCACTAAAGAGTAGCTGTTTGGGAATCCTGTTGTTGTCCATCCTACAAACGTGGCCYAGCCAGCGCAAGCGKTTACTACGTACTGCTGTCTCAATGGTTGTGCTCTTCGCTYTTTTGAGGACCTCCGTGTTCGTGATCTTGTGCCACCATTTGATGTTTAGAAGGCGACGGAGGAAGCGTTGGTGGAACATCGATCTCGAGCAGGCCGGGTGTATGAACCTAGCAAGAGTGGACCAGGTCTCACTTCCATATAGCAGTGTTGGTAGTACCAAATTCTAGGTGTAACTAAACTATAGTGTATTTAATTCTAAATAGTACACTTTTATGGTTAATTTGTAATCTGTGAATCATGTGAATTCAGCACATGCGTTTATTGCGTAAGGACCATTCATTCGAGGGTGGTCGCTTACAGGAGAGGAAAAACAATGAAAAATTCCAGAATTTCAACCCCAAAAGTGGCCGCGGTCGCATAAAAAAAGTAGTCGCCTACGAGAGAGTTTTTTTTTACAGAGTCTAGCATGGGAAACAAAACGGGAAATTTAAGAGGTGGTCGTTTACGGGAGATGGTCGCTTACGATAGTGGTTGTTTATAAGAGATTCAACTTAATAAAACAGACAGAATATCACTAGATCAGCTCTTTCTCGGATTACTATTACAAGCAATATTTTGACGGTTAGATCAGTCTCAAATTCCCTAGTCGCGCGGAGGAAATCTCTTAAACGTCACAGACATATGGGAAAAGTTTTGACGGGCGAGCGCCCAGCCGTGCAGTCCGAGTAAACACTTTGTCATTGCCTAGTTTCTCTACTGAAAACGTTTTCTGAGAGGGGAAGAGCATCATTTTCGGTGTTATCCTATTTTTTGGATAGGCACAATGATATCCCCCCCCTTCCCCCTAATATGAGAAACTATAAAAAATGGGTAAAGGAAAGGCTTGAAGAGCAATTTTGCAAATTATTTCACTTCTAATTCGCAAAGTTAATCGAAAAAGTCATGTGGGCAGCGCCGCAGCCAGAAAGAAAATGTTAACCGAGGCACTTTACGCGACCGGCGGAATCGGTCGTTTCTAGGGGGTTCGCGGCCATGCTTCCCCGAAACATTTTGAAATTCAGACACTCGGAAACGYGATTTACAGCGTTTTGCCAAACATTTTTTTTATCTTACACCATTGATCGAACTTTTTTATTTTGGATACGAATTAAAGAAAACTCGATAAAATTTTACCGAGGCAAGTGCCTCGCTTGCCTGATCGTAGCTATGGCGCTGGTGGTGAACGTTTTGAGGCGAAGTATGATTTTGGTGCATATCAATTTCAAACCTATTTTTTACTTCCTGATTTCCTTGGATTGCTTTCCAAATAAATTGGAGTATTTAGTTTACTATATATTA